ATGTTTCAGCATGTGTCTGTTACATAAATATGCTTACCATGTTCTAGGAATCAGACTTAAGGTTACTTATGTTTTATTTCTCCTAATAGATTAGTATTTCATAATTGTGATTGCATTGTCTTAAAAGAATGACCTCGCTAAGAAATCAGGGATGGTGGCATATGCTGGTAATACCAGTGTTCTGGAGTCTGAAGCAGGAGGACTGGGAGTTCTTTGCCACTGAAGAAATTTAGGAGAACTTGTGTGAAAATAAAATTTTAAAGTTGGAATTGGGGGCCTGGAATTTAACTCAGAGGTAGACCACGCCTGGATTCAGTCTCCTTAAATTAAAATTACATGACAATTTTCTGTTTTGGTGTAGGAACTTAGTGATTTGGCCCGTGACCCTCCAGCACAATGTTCTGCAGGTCCAGTGGGGGATGATAGTAAGTAATTTCTAAATTAATTTTTTTTTAATATGACTAACTTCAAAAAAGCTTTTGTATTTTGGGATGATGCTAAAGAGTTTTTTTCTCCCCCCCTTTTCTAGTGTTTCATTGGCAAGCCACAATTATGGGACCTGTAAGTATTAAGACTTTTGAAGTTTTGCTTATAATTGAAAATTCAGCATCGGTCTGATTATAAATTTTTAAATTTAGTTCATAGGTTTATTTTATTATGTAGTGTATTCTGGTTTGGTTATACCATAATTGTACTACTTTTAAAAGAAATAGAATATTGTACTTGTTACATGTACATTGTGTATCCCTGTGTTCAGTTTTGTAGAGTATAGCATCTCTTTGGATCTACCAAATCTCTCTTTGCCTTAATTTCGGTTTTCCTTCATAGCAATGTGAAGCACTGGCATTGAACTTCTTATTACTTAGACAATTTACTGGCTCTGTCTCTATTATGAATTGTTACTCAAATATCTTGCCCTGTTCCTGTGGTTGCCAGGAATCTAGCTTACTTGTATTATTTTTATATTCAATTTCTTACAGAATTTTAGTCTCATACAAATTTGAAAATATTAGGCAGAAAGTGATATTCTGAATATAGCAGAATTCCTTTCTATCCTGATAAGAATCTATAGGCTGGATAATTGAATATTCAGAATTATAGATACCATCTAAGAATTTCAGAATATTAAAGCACACTAAAACATCCTGGGTTAAGATTAAGATTAAGCTTGTATCTTCCACAAATTCTTAACATTTTTCCCCCTTAACATAGAAGGAACTTTCTAAGTTTCTTGTATATTATACTGAAAACTTTCTGCTTCCATTTCCTTTTCCTAGTTTTATTTAACGCCAGTAATATGCTAGATGGGAAAATGGTCATTAAACATATATATGTTTCTATGTAAGCAAGCACACAAATTTCGATGTCAGCTTTTAAATAGTTAACTGTATCTTTAGAGTGGAATGCATCAGTGCCTTGTTTTGGTTTCTGAATGCATCTTATGACAGTATCACATTATAATGTAAATAATATCTTATTTTTTGACTACGGTTACCCTATATGATTTGTATTTGTGAACCAAAACAATAAAGCAGGCAGTGTGGTAGCATAGTAATCCACAAATTGTGGATTTGCTTGGGAGAACTAGATAGTAGCAAAATCACATTTGCTTCAGAGTACTTTTTAGGTCAGTTAAGGTAATGGTAGTATCATAGAACTAAAGATTTCTTTCTCAGTAATGTAGCATGTAATTTAAGTTTCAGTAAAGAGTAGCTGCTGAATTTTAGTCAAGAAGTGCTCTGTATCATTAGAAGTTATATAATTAAGAATCACAGATACCGATAAAAACTAAAATTCTTTGAAAGATTTGACCGATCCTTGCTAGTTAAGTGGTTTTTTAAATGTTTGAATTTTTTGTACTATATTAAGGGTAGTTACCAATGAGACTTCATAAAAAGAGAAGAAATTTACTTCTAATATCTGCATGTCTAATTTTTTCTTCAATTGGAAGTGGAGTTGGCAGAAAATGATATATTTGAAAGTATTTGGAGAACCACACTAACCTCCATCTAATTGTGACAGTTATAAAAGATAGAACTGTCTGAATATTAGCTTGAGTGTAACTACAAAAGCCATCTGAAGTAAAATCTGTCCATAAGAATTATTTTACTGATCCATAAAGATCAATTTTAAATGTATTATGTCACTTTTTACAAAGGTTAATTATATGTGAAATTTTCCTTTTTCTTTTTTTGATAGTGGGGATTCTGCAGAGGCACTTTACCACAGCTTTGCATTCCCAGTTCTTCTTACTTTTATTGTGAGACAGTCTCAACTAAGTTGCTTAGGGCTGTGCTAAATTGCTGAGGCTGGCCTTGAACTTGGGATCATCCTGTTTAGGCCTCCCAAGTTCCTGGGGATTATAGGCATACACTACAACCCAGTTTTTACCCTACTCTTTAAAGATCCTATTGTAATATAGTAGAAGAGGGAAGTATAAGTATTAAATAAGATAGATTATTGTAATTAGTAAATAGCCAGCAAATTGGGTTAATGTATTGACTATTGGGAATAACATTTCAAATAAGGGAAAGAAATAGGAGATATAATGCAATCACTTTAACACTAGGACAGAGATAATTGGAAAGGAAGCCAGAATAATAGCAGAAATACCAGTACTAACATCTTGAACTAAGATAGTGGCAGTGGGCATAGGCGAAAAGGAGAGGCAAATTCAAGAAATTTTGAAGTTCTTTAGGACTGGGTAACCACTGTGAATGAGTCAGATGAAAGGAATAATCAACTGAGAGATCCTGGTTTATAGGTATCTATTGTGATTTACTGTTGATAGGAAAAATAGTGTTGAAGAGATCAGGAGTTTGTGTTTTGTGTATGTGATGAGATACCAAGTAGATTGAATAGACATTTGAATGAATGCCAAGGAATTAATATGACACTAAGGGAAACTTCGAGAGCGTGCAAAATATATGTGGGTGGGAGTTAGAAGCAAAAAATGATCTCTAGGAATATAAGACACCAGGGGAGCAGCAACTAGAACTAACGGGATAGAAGGATTATACAGAAAAGATAGAATATAAATTCTGTTTCTAAGATTACAATAATCAAAGTATTCCTTCTTTTACTTCCTTTGTTTTTGTTTTGTTTTTCTTGTATAGTTCCTGTCTCTTTTTTTAATATAGCCTTGTCTTTAAGTCTGTTTTGCTTTTTTCCTCTTTGTGGTGGAATTTTAATGTAACATAACATGGAAATGCTAAGCTGCTTTTTCTTTTCTTTTTTAAACAAGTAAAATGAAATTTGGCTTTGCCTAAATTGCGTCATTGAGTTCTTTGTTCAGAAGCAGTCAGACATAACCCTTGATTGTGTGAAACTGGAAAATGAAAGTTAAACAGATCATCTGAAATGAAGTTTTGAGAAAACTTTAGTATGTAGGACCATCACAAAATTATTAGTTAATTATATAGTAAAAACTTATTTTCTACATGCTGTATAATATAGCCATATTATTTAACAAAGATATGCTCATCTAACAAATTTGTTATATTTTGGGTGCCTTGCTTTGAATTTTTTTCCCCTTTTTATACATTTTATTTGCTATTTTTAGATGTACATGACAGTAGAGTGTCATTTGACATACGTACATATGGAGTATTACATTCTAACTAGGATCCCATTCATGTGGTTGTACGTGATGTGGCATTTCGCTGGTGATGTAGTTAT